CATCCGATTACTGAATCACTGTCTTGCGAATGTTATCTTGAGAATATTCAAACTACCGGTGGTACCGCAATGGTTCAGTCACTGTCACCAGGGGTATTTTGTGCAATGTTGTCCAAGGTTCGAGCCCAGCCACCGCCACCCACATTTGGTGATAGGCACCTTTGCTTTCGTTCGATTCAACAGCACGCCTAACCTAGCGGAGTGTTATGTGTGCTTTGCCACTCCAAGTCCCGTGGGGCTGAGATTGCCGGTTACGGAACGGGGGATCCTCGTGGCTAAGAGGTTCCACCCCATCTGCATTTTATCACATTAATGTGTGTTACATAAAAATTCATTTCATATGAATGACGACCCGGCTTCTCGCTCGTACTGATTCGAATGTTTCGTTTTGTTCACCAGTGAGTGTAGTTGANTGATTTAAATTGTATTCTCGGGAACGAAAACAAACGAAGTGATTGCCTCAGTATCACTTCTGATTGTGCTAAATCTCATGTCCAATGAGAATGGAACAGTCTTTCGTTCTATTTGACGAATGAGACAAGGCCGAATTGGGGTGCCGAACAGTGTTCCAGTGGATCGGAATCCAGCATGATTGATTTAACACTACCATAAAACCTTTTTTTATTGTCCCATACATTTTTTTAAAAACCACGTTGTGCAATTTTATTAGGCACAGATGACTCCAATTCCCCCCCCCCCAACCACCCACCTACCCACTCACCCACCCAAGTAAATGAGGAAACCGCATCATAAAGCATCATTCTGAATCACTCTGAGTCAAATAACTCGAGTGAGAGTGTTCCGCTGATGGATCTCACTCGCTACATACCATGTACCTTATTCCCAGTAAGTAAGTAGTAAGTATGTGAAAAGAATGTACCCTTACAGACTCGCTATTCAATTTGATAATCCAATTATGATCACCCAAGTGATGGTTATGATTCATCATAAGATAATTAGGAAAGAGGGTTTTCCAGATGTGTGCCTAAAACTTTTGGGCACGGTTTACCTCGCGGCAGTTCACACTCACGAAGGGCTCTTTTAAGAGCCCTGACTGGAGCCTTCGACTCAAACGTCTGACATACAAGGCAGCACCCAAGGCCTTTGGATTTTGGTTCAGTGTGTTGTTCGCTGGTGCATTGATTGCCGGTTCGCTGTTCGGGATTGGCCCTTAGTCTCATGCACCCAATCAGAGGCGAAACACGGACGAAATAGCATCTTATTAACTGAGTGCCGACCAGCTTGGGTAGGTGGTAGCTGTCCAATGAAGTGAGAAGACTTGTTCCATCGTGGAGAGGAAGCTATTGCTTCCATCTGGTGGAGTTTTTAACCGATAATCTACCCCTCACCGTGTTTATTTGCTAGATTGATCACCCCAGGGACAAGCGTGGAAGGTCAAAAGAAACCATGAGGTGTCCAAGCAGCTGGCTCTGTGAGACTGAGCTTTGTCTGGCCTCTATCCATTGACCTTTCAGGCATGCTTGAACCTGCGGCTGTGAAAAGCCATCCTGTGTAGTTCACATGGTCATAGAGGCACACAAGCCGTCGCACCACGTCAAGTTGCCGTCGTGTCGTGACCTGATCCGAGGGTATGGAAACCTTAACCAGGAAACTCGGTCATATAGGTCGCGTTGAACTCCCTGGATGGGGAAGTCGAGTTCGTGGTAACCGATGGTTAGAGACATTGAGTGATATGTCTGACTGCCGTAAATAACAGCGATCGTGCATCTTCTCATTTTCTTTGCAACTATAGTTCACTGAAATTATCCATTTTCCTTCCTACTGCACTTTCAAATTTCCTATCTTTCTCCTACTGTTTCATCCAAATAGAGGCAGCCAAAAGACAGTAATCAGATCTGGCCCACAAAATTACACGGTTACCGGTTGTTCAAACGGAAAACCGGAACTAGAGCTTATCTGAAATTTGAGACGCCGGGCTTGGAAGACAGTTGAAAATCCCGGCCTCATGAGGATGGTAGAGTAAACAATGATTGAGAGGGCGGTTGCGTCAGAGCAAAGCAAATCATCCACCACTGTGAATAAGGACACTATTGAAATCAACTGTGTAAGCGTGTGTCACATGGATTTCTATTGAGGAGTGGAACACGGTGAATAACCCGCATACGCGTGGATGAGTGAGCATCGAGGAAAACACCTTGAGCAGAACAGTTTGGACCTGTTTCGGATGTACCGACTGTGCTATATTGAAATTTACGCTGTGGCGACTGTACTGTGAATAATACTACTCATAAAAAGAATAGTGTAATTCCGGATTCTACTAACCATGAAACCCGATTAAGGCAAACAAGATAGGTTCAGATGATCAGGCTCATGGGGCTTTGAGACCACCAATCACTGTGGTGCGGGAATGAACTTATCTGAACACCGTCATTCATAATCTACATAAAACTGATACACTGGAATCATTTTCCGGTTGTTTCACTTTGGATGAATTATTTTGTCGCAGAAAGTTAAAAATGATGCTTTTTCAGACATGCTTCATCAGGTTACTCATGACAGACAATTGGGGTGGGTGGTTTTCCGCTAGTAGTCAAAATAAATGGTATTTAATGAAGACAAAACGACTCCCGACCGGTGTTTATGTCGCTTGTAAGAGAAAACCAATAGCCAAGAGCTACATAAATTTATGTTTCTTGTCAATCGTAGAGATTACGCAATACGCCACAAATCAACTGATATTTGCCCTAAGTTGCGTTCCGGTCTTTTGAGTTCAG